ATTTATAAAGATTCTCGCTGAAATGTCTTTAATTTCATTGGCAGGTACCAAGAGGAAGGTGGGAAGACCTTCAGTCATTGAAGCTCACCCTGAGATCGTGGAAATTGTCAGAGACTTTATTACACAGCATTCTTCATCTGCCCACGATCGAAGACGCGATGACGTGCAATACAGCCATGGCGTGACACTAGCAGCCATTCGGAGTCACGTCCTTAGGGAAATTCCGGCTTTAAAGAAAATTTCTGTACACACAATACACCGTCTTCTTTTGCCGCCAAATAAGAACCGAAATGCGTCTAAACGCAACAAAAGTTTAGTAGAGGCTAAACGACCTCCTAAGAGAAATGACCTAACTAGTAAAATTCACGCAGACTTTCACTATGGTTCAGCTCAAGTGAATTTTGTTGGAGAGCTCGCTGAATTGTTCTCAGATGAGACAATAGCCATTTCAGCAGATGACAAGAACAAAGTCAACGTAGGAACTTTGGCTGTCAGTAGGCATTTTTCTATCAACAATATATTTGCCACGAACGATCAACCCAACTACCCCGATCACGATTTTCCTTATACCAATGCCAAAATTGTTCCAGCTGGATATTTATTACTTAGATCAAGAAATACGCGATCGAGGAGTCTTTTGCCGAGGAAGACGAATCAAAAAAAAAAAAACGCCGTTCCCTATCAGCTCCTCCAAACAATTTCTCTTATAGGTGTAATTCAAAGGACAAAATATTTGTAGATACTCTGGGTAGAGAACGAATAAGGTGGCCTAGATCGGGTTCACTTAATGTTTGTTATATCCATCAATGTTTTTTGAGAGCACAAGCGCTATGCATGTGTTTAACCTAAAAAAAATTTTGCAACCAATTGTTTCAAAGGAAGGAAAAAAAGCAGTCACTATCACATGTGACGGAGGGCCAAAGTCTACCCCCAATTTGATCAACTTTGGAAGGTTGTGGCGAGACTTAAACCTCGACATCTTAATCCTCACATCTTACGCCCCGGGACACAGTCGTTACAATCCCATAGAACGCAGCTGGGCCCCTCTTTCAAAATGGCTCACTGGTGTTACTCTCCCGATTACCTTGGAAGGGAAAACCTCTCCCTGGGTGGATTTTGCAGGGCTAAGTGAAAATGAGATTCGTAACAGGAAAGCTGAGGTTCTTGATGAAGCGTGCCGTAAGTGCAGCAAATATTGGGATGGAAAGAAGATTGATTCTTTTCCAGTTCGGGTCACATGCATCGAATCTCGATCTCAAGAGGCACAAATTAGTGACCATGAACTACTAAAAGCCTTAGCTAATAGTAGTGAAAAAAAAATCAAAAGCGATCCTAACCTGGAAAATTGCCGCTCCGAGTATCAATTTCTTATGGGACATCTGACAAGGAAAACGTATCAAGTTGAATTTGTAAAGTGCGTTAGTTCACAGTGTGATCACTGCGCAAAGACACCAATCCGAGCAGTAAATTTTTTTAACTTTATTAAGCAGCACGGTGGAGTAGTTCCATTTCCCGAATCCAGCACAGTCTACAGGGGGCACTATTCCACCCTTTTGCAGCATTTAAAGATGCCCCTTGTTCGTGATTTTGAGGAGTGTCTCCCAAGTTTGAAGGGAGGAAGCCAGCCTGCTTGTGCAAAAGATATAAGAATAAATAGAATGGCGGACCATCGTCCCAAAAAGCCTCTCAAATGTACCATAATGCCATGCAGATTTGTATTTTTTTTAATATCTTTGCGTTAAAAGCCGAAATTGTAATATTTTTTTGAATATCAATAATGCAACACCGTAAAGGAACCCGAGTTGTCAGTGGCATTGTTTTAACAAGAATATTCATAAACAAACAATTGTAAAATTTACATTTGTAATTTATCTTATTATTTTTGCATACACTGGTTACATATTTTTAAGAGGGTAATTAAATTGTTGATAGAACACATGTAACTGTGAGTAACAGGAAATTTGCGTGATAAAATGACTAATTACAAACCGTGCATATTTTGAGAAATGAGCTGCTTAAACCTTAGCTACAGCTGGAAATAAATCACAAGAATAATCCCATATTTTGAAATTTCTTTCATGACTGATTTGTAAATGACGATTCGGCGTCTTTCGCCTTGCTAGACGTTTTTCGACTTTTTCGACACTTCATATTGACCGCTTCCCTTAGTTCCGTTGTGTCTTTTAGTCTCGCGTACGCTTCTGGATGTTTTTGGGATACAGATTTCAAAATTTTCTTCATTCTACCTGGAGAGAGACCCTTTTTCTCGAATTCTCTCCCATTATATTTTCTCTTCCCGCCCTCATAACTCGACTCAGCTAACTCTGGTTTTGAATAGGAAGTTCCTACCATGTCACACAAATCTTTCAGACATGCTTTGTTTTCCGTGCGCACTTTTTGTTCTTCTGCTGTCAACGGTGCCTTTTCCTTTTTCTTATTTTTCGGGTTGGAATTCCCAAGAGAAGTTTCAGAAATGTGCTGTTTTATAGTGAAATCAACCGGAACAGGAGAAGGGCTTTTGGCCGGTTTGCTTTCCAAGCTGCCCCCACTTATTGATTCCTGACCCTGCAAATATTCATCAGGCATATCAGATTCTACAAAAGTCGACACTTCAACTGAACTTGACAGGGGTGTACTGTGCAGAATTGGGACAGGGCGTTCAATAATCTTTACGGATTTAGCCGAACTAGTGCCGCTGCTGGGCTCATGAACCCGTAATATTCCTCGTTTTTTCGCCTTTTCTTTCAAAAGATTTGAAATCCCTCTTAAAGTTTCCATGATTTGACTTTGGTTTTCTAATGAAAGCTCTTGTTTTGCTTCAAGCCTTTTTATGTCACTTTTGGTGGCAAATGATGGCTGCGAATCGGTTACCGTCACAACATCAGAGCTCCCTTCCCAGTCATCAAAGTCAAAGTCATTTTCATGCGCTGCTAAATTTGGACTTAAATCTAGCTCATTGGATACGGATGGTGCAATCCTTGCCAATTCATCCTGGTGTGTGCTCTTTGAGTCGGGTCGCTCACTTCCAGGGCTTAAGGTCTTGCACTGTTTGTCTTCTGACTGCACGTTTTCCTCAGGTTTCTTGCTTATCAAAACCTTTGGAGACACAATCATACAATTGCAGTTTTTAGAGTAAAACCCATTCATGTCAATTACTCTGGTCTCAGAGGTCTTTCTTGATGTTTCTCCGCGTCAAAGAGAACGAGCCATGAAGCGGCGAAAACGAGTTCCGAACCGGCGAGTAAGACGGTTTCTCTGAAGCAGAGAACAATCATCTAGAAAAATCTCTGGGACCAGGGTACCTTTTTGTTAATCCAATCGACTGGTTTCGTGTACATGCACGGCCTGCAGTTCGTAGCCGATACACTCGAGAAGAAGTCAAAATCGAAAGTTGAGCTTAAGAACATTAAAAAATCTTCACAAATACACTGAATAAAAAAAATCTTTAAAAATCTAAGTATAAGTACATGTGGTTGTTATTTATTGTCATAAGTATAATTGTAACTTAGACTTACTTTTACGGCTTAAATTTTCTCCCTGAAACATAAAAATGAGAAATAGTTTTAAGTAATTGCAGGTAAATTGCTTCGAGAATTGAATAACGCATTTCAGGATCGCTTCACTTTTCTTAATCGACATATGATAGTTTGATTTTGCTTTTTTTAGTACTGAAAAGACAGGACTGCCGGTCATTTAGTAGTTTGAAAACCTTGACCGGTTTACACCAGCCATATAGCCACAGCGAATTATAAAACTATAAATAATATAGTGATCTTCACACTTAGTGTCCACTCAAAACCACATTTTCCATAAACATATATTTTTTGCACTGTACCTCTTGGGCTGAAGTCGAAATTAGACAATTAAAAAGATCTTATGAGTGTAATGGTCAGATCCCGTGGGTCTGACCAATGTACGAGTCAGCGGGTCATGGGAATCCATCGAGAGCATGCGAGCTATAAAGAAGCGAGTCATGTGAACATGAGAAAATGTATTTAAAAACTGCATGTGAACTACTTGTTCATAAAAAATACTTCTTTCCATACTAATATAAATACTTGACCATTTTCACACAAAACAAGCTATGCTTGTGACGCTTTGATCGTTATTTTTTGGAACTGAAAGGCGCACATAACACTACCCTAACTGACACATTTTCTAAACATCTCTCTTCAGATCTGCACGGAACAACGCAAGACGTTTTTATTTTCTTTGTAGACAATTTTTTTCAGCAGTTTTACTGTTTACAAAAAATTCAAGTACAATGAAAGGACTCGCTAGCTCGCTTATTGGTACAACTGAGAGTTGACGTCTCCTGGCGCACATGAATCGCGTGCCTTTGCACATTAGCCAGATCGGATTTCAATTAACATCTAATTTTCATTTCAAGTAAATTTCCATGTTCACATTGTAAAATCTCTTAAGGCTACTCAATTTTGTTGCTGTTGAATGCTAAATGATTAAACTGCAAAAACCTGTAGGACTGAATATAATGTTTGGCTTAGAGATATATGCTTCGCTTAACCGAATGAACCGCAGATATTCAGAGACACATTAGCGATAAATGGAGATAAGGCTTACATTTTGCTTGTTGGCTCCTTCTTTGATAATCTCCTGCTCTTCTTCGGACGTCTCATCATCATCAGGAAAGCGATGCTTGTTCCTCGGATCTTGCAGGAAATTGATCGACAAGCGATCTAGATTGCTCTTTTCATCTGTAAACATTCAGTATACAGGGACATGAATGAGTTGGTCAAAACTTTAGGCAAACAGGCTATTTAGCAACAGGTTACGGTGGGAAGTTCTGAAATCCAGTATTCAATGTACAGGAAAATAGAATAAAACAGTTCTGAAATACTGAGTCGCTTGTTTACTTAATGTCTTATCAATTTCAAAGTAAAAAAGTCCATAGCGGGGAACCTTGAGACGAGATCTAAAACTAGACATTCCGGTCTGGAGATTCAGTTCGCTGACTTGACTTCGCAACTTCCAATTTATTTGGAACTATGTTTCAAAACCAAAAAGCCACTTTTTTTATACACTCTTTCAAACGCAAGTTTGCGTGTTAGGTAAAGCGTGCGTGTTAGGTAGGCTTTATTGTGTTTCCAATCTTCACTAACCAAAAATAAAGTGGTATCTCGTCAGTTTGTAATTCTTCTTTTTTTCGCAATTCTTTTTTGATACACACTACGCGGGGAATTACTTTGTTTTTCTGGGAGACAGTATTTAGTACTAAACTACCCGCAAAATCAAGGGTTCTTACTACTTTTCTCAATGGAATTGGTTGTGGAAATAAAATTATAAACAACAACGCATGCTATACACGAAGGGTTTATTATCATTTCGTGACAGAAAACCAGTTCATGACAAGCCCATTGCAAGGGAAGACCGGAAGGCTATTAGTGTGATCTTCTGGAGGTGAAAACAACTTTCAGTTTTCCTCTTTCTGGTAACATGGCAAGTAAGCCTTTAACACCCCAAACAGCAGCCATGGCGTCGCTGAGAGAGTTCGAAAATGCTCTGGAGTCTTTGAAGAGTGCGTTTTGTTTATATGACGAATGCAAAGACTTGTCAGATCCCTACGATGACCATCAACAACCGCGTAGGAACGAGCTGCGACGAACATTCAAACGTAAGTTTTAATACTCGGGCTCG